AACTTCCTCCATGGTTTCATCTCAGTGATTATCGTTTTATAAAAGATGCAGAGCTTCACATACTTACGGATTTACTTACTTATTGATTCAGAAACTATTTTTGTTTTACAGAAGAGGGCCATTAGAGCTATTTACAATCTAAAACCGAGAGAGTCTCTTAGAGATAAATTCAAAGAAATTAATATATTAACTTTGGCCTCTCAGTATATTTACGAAAATTTAATGTATGTTCACAAAAACAAAGATAGTTTTAGTAAAAGAAGTGATATACATTCTGTAAACACTAGGAACAAACACAAGCTAGTGATACCAGTTTCTCGACTCCACAGAGTCAGTAATTCATTCTTGGGGCAATGTATACGCTATTACAACAAGGTCCCGGAAAGTGTACAGGTTCTCTCTATTACCAAGTTTAAATGTTTTATTAAGCTGAAACTGTATAAAAAGGGTTATTATAGTATAAATGAATACATGGTTGATAATAACCCCTGGGAATGAGGTGATCGCTTCCAAGCAGTTTCTAAAATAAATTTTGTAAATAGTTCGTAATCATTTATATTGTAAAATTTATTTAAAAAAAAAGTCCCGCTGGTTTTCTTGCTGGTTCTTCCCAGGACAGAGGGTTTTTTCGAACCAGTGGTAAAGTAAAAAATGACTTTCAATAAGAATTACACATGTAATGTATATTGAATAAAAAATATTCTATTCTATTCTATTCTATTCTACGATTTCGGATATGCGAATACGGCAAAATCCAGCTGTTATCTAAGGTTTCGAACGCTCCAGAGCGAGATTTGATTGTAACTTTCCTGCCACCATCTTCGGGAGCTCTGCGTCTGTATAAAGGGTAGCCATTGTCATTGTGCACTGTTTATTTTAATAGCTGTTTAGGGAATTTATTTGTACATTTTCCTTCTTTCATACATGGCGATATTGAATTTCGTGCTCCACATGGACCGTGAATCATATTTCGGACGATGGTTCCATACAATTCTTTATCTTGCTCAGGATCTGGATTCTCGGCGCTTATTATGTCGTCTATATGGCTGGGCCACAACTTTTCTTTAAGCCATATTAGAATGTGAGCATGCGGTAATCCTCTTTTTTGCTATTCAATTGAATACATGAAGCACTGCACCTCTCCGAAAATTTTCCCTTTGTTAATTACATACATTAATTTTTGTATTTTTTATCTAAATACTCTAGCAACTAAATCGTGTCTGTCAGTACTTTTTTGGCCCGACATTAGCTTCTCGGTTATTTCTTTCCATGTGGGATTGCAAGTAAAAGTAACAAAAAGATCAGGTCTTCCGTAAGTTCGTACATAGGCGAATGCGTCTTGTGTGTACTCATGTAGGTAGCGGGGACTGTTAACGAATGATGAGGGCAGAATTACCATTTTACCTAAATCTCTAGGGTTTACATTTGCGTCGCTAGAAACTGCATCTTGTAAATATATATAATTCTAAACGCGCAGCTTTTTTTGATTTAAAGATATATAACGGAGACGTTCACTTTCTACCTTCACATACATGTCTACCAAAAATTGATGAAATAATTGTCTACACCGGGCTAAGAGGTTAAAATCATTTTTACGCAACATCATATGATACGCATAAAAATCCATAAATGATACTTTTTTGTTCGGAGTAGGCTTCTTTGTGACCGGGTTAATGAGCGGAATTTGAAAATGATAACCCTCTTGTCCTTTGCAATAAATCAATGGGTATTGCAGAGCGTCATAAAACTTGTGTATCGGCTACCCGTTGCAACGTATCATCACGTGTTCGCAGGATAATGTCTCGTGAAAAAAATTGATCACCACTAATTACGGCTGCTATTTCGTTTATCAAAGGTGCATTGTAGCGCCTTTCATGCTCTCCTCGAGGGGTCCGATCTGCGTGAATGACGACTTTATAATCCTCTTCAGGTAGGTTTTCTAAAGCAGTTTTAAATGTTTTGACTAAAATGTTACGTTCATGCAAGAATCTTTGAATTTTGAACACTGTGTCTCTCTCAACTCCCTGGATAAATTGGCAGCGACGGTCTACCTCAATTTCTTCGTCACCCATAAAATATACTTGTAAAAATTTATGCTGTTCGTTTTCAGCTGGCAAAAGTGAACCTATTCTATGATAAATTTGCCCTTGCACCGTAAATGTAGGCGAAAATCCCGGCATTATTATTTTCCGGTCAACTCCGAAGGACATCATTTGAAAGCATGAGTTATATTTCCGGATCCTGTTTAAAAAGCGCCGTGATTCATTTGAATCATATAAAAGGAGAGTTTTCAAAGGTTCTTCTGGTACCCCAAGTAACGGAAGAGACACTTTACCATTGGAACAGAACATGCCTGCGATCTCATCTTTCCATTTTAAAGCGCTGCAAAATCGACACGCCTTGTCCATCAGTCCAATAACAACTAACCTGTGATTTTTATAATCAATCAACGGATCATAATTAAATGCTGCGTCATTAAAAACCGACCAATTGTTTCTTTGAAAATTTTGTCGACGTTCAGCTTGGAGCTGTGCATTTGCATCTCTTCGCGCCTGTGTCTGTTCTGGTGTTTCAGATGCCCTTATAGTAGATTGACGTTCATCTTGCTCAAAGAGTCTGTGTTGAGTTTCATCAGGTGTTTCCGCGGCTCTTATGGCGGCCTGACGCTCCGCTTGTTCGAATAGCCTTTGCTGACTTTGAGCAGGTGTTTCTAATATATATATATATAACTATATAATAATAATATAACCAACGAAAAAAGAAGTAAGTGTGTAGGTACCGTATACACTATCTACACTATTAATATTCCTTTGAAATTATTGTTAAACAACCTATAACAACGAAAACCAATTCACGATTCTAAATAAACAAAATACAAAATCAAAGCCAAAGTCTAAATATGTATAAAGAAAAGGAATACCAACCAAATCAACAAAACCGATCCAAGAAAATACACAAATCCGAAAATGAAAGCCAATATAAATCCATTCAACCTTAACCAAATCACAAAGCAAATAACAAAAAACCAAAATAGAAAGCAGGTAGTCGAATAAGCTACGAAATAGAAACAATTTAAGCGTATAGTTACTGTATGCACTATAAGTTGACGCGCGGCTCAACGGTGGGAGTTAAGTACATAACAGGAAACATTTCGTTACCGCGTCTTAAACACCTAGTAACGACATCTAGCGGAATCAATTTAAACTATGTATACGTTAGTTAATAAGAACTCTCCAAAAATATTTTTCTTATAATTTTGCACAATTTTTCTTATTGTAATATCGATTCATTCATAACCACATATAATAACTGTATTCATTTCCGTTCAATAAATATTACTAAGGCTTATTAATAAGGCTTACTAAGAACTGTTTCTACCACAGTTAAGTAATAGTTAAGGGTGAAAGCGTGACAGGTGGTGATAGTATTTCTGATCCCGAAATCCCGAACGCGGTGAACATTTCGCCGAGAGGAAACCTCAAGCACCTAAGCCTCTCCAACCTAGCCATATGACCTTACCTTCGCAAAAACCATTCAGTTTTCCTGCACCGATGCCAATGCCTAATTTACAGCGACCTTTACATGTACCACAGCAACAAGTCTTTAGGCCTAACGTGTCACCACAGTATAATATGCCTACGCGAACTCAACAGATGTTCCTTGCTTTGCCACCTAATTATACACCCCATAGTAATACGTTTAGATTACCAAATAGGAATCCACCCCATGACTCAGGTCCGAAGCCTATGAGTGGGGTTAGCCATTACGTACCCAAACCAATGCCTCCAACAGGTCTGACCGACCAATATTGGCGCAAATACGGTAACCCGCTGCCTTCAAATTACTTCAAAAGTAGGGAAATGAATTTTAACGAATGTGCTAATTACGATAGTTACTATTATCCTGAATACCAATACGACTATTACGACTATAATGATAATGACGACTATATCCATACTATGACTTATGACTATGACGACACACAGCATTACCAATACCATGACGCAACTGAGATAAACGAACAAGATAACGTAGACTATCAACCTTCTACAAGCAGTTCGACTCAGTATTTTCAAAAGACTCGTTCTTCAAAAAAGCCAAAATAGAAGTAAACTTACATACACAGAGCCAGCTTCCATACATATGTATTTCTAACCCTCCGCTGAAATTTCTAATCGATACCGGGGCGAATCAGTCTTTCATTAATCCGGAAGCTATACAAAAATATTTTTCACATATACCTTTGAATTATGATCCATTCGAGGTAACCAATGTGCATGCTACAACTAAGAATAATTGTTCGATAACTATTCGATGCTTTTCCGAATTCCAAAAGCCTGAAAGTATTAAATTATATATTTATAAATTTCACGATTACTCCGATGGCCTTATTGGTATCGACTTATTAGAGAAATGGGAAGCTAGAATAGATCTAAAGGATAGATTACTTGTAACACGATTAGCTAACAACCCCATCTTAATGTATAACTCTATAAATGTTAATTTTTACGAGGACGTGATATCATCCCAATCTTCAAAATTAATAAAAGTACCTATTAATGTCCATGACGGAGAAGCCTTAGTTAGCGAACAATATATCTCCAATTGCGTGATAAACGAATGTCTAACATTAGTGTCAAATAACCGCGGTATTATAGAGGTATTTAACCCGACTCCGCACGATATAGTTTTCTCCCTAAATCGTCCAATATGTGCTGAGATATATAACATCGAGTCCTCTCACAACGTTCAAACCACACCCACATTACAAAGAAGTATTATCTCGTTTACGCACTGACCATCTAAATGCCGAAGCACGCGCTTATTTAGAAATATTGTGTGCCAAATACGCTGACGTTTTTTATATAGAAGGCGAACAGCTCACATTTACTAATAAAATAAAGCATAGCATCCGGACCACTGATGAGAAACCGATATATACTAAAAGCTATCGGTACCCATACGTTCATAGAGACGAAGTTAAACAACAAATCAGTAAAATGTTAGAGCAAGGTATAATTCGTCCGTCAGAATCTGCATGGAGCTCTCTCGTCTGGATAAATCCTAAAAAAGTTGACGCTTCTGGCAAGACTAAATGGCGACTCGTAGTCGACTTTAGGAAGATAAATGAAAAAACCATTAGTGATAAATATCCAATACCGAAAATATCGGATGTACTAGAAAAGTTAGGAAATTGCCAATATTTCAATACCTTGGATTTAGCCAGTGGATTTTACCAGGTCGAAATGAACCCTAGTGACATACCGAAAATAGCATTCAACGTTGAACATGTGCATTTCGAGTTCTTACGGATGCTCATGGGTCTGGAGAACTCGCCATCCACGTTTCAGCGTGTCATAGATAACGTGCTCCGTGACCTCCAAAATACAGTTTGTCTCGTGTACTTAGACGATATTACTGTGTTCAGCACTTCCTTGAAAGAACACATGGTATATCTCGAGAATGTATTTCAGAAACTATGGGAATCCAACTTTAAAATACAAATGGTTAAATCCGAGTTTCTTAAATTGGAAACCGCTTATATAAGTCATATAATTAGTAATGATGGCAATAAGCCAAATCCTAGTAAAATATCAGCCATAGAAAAGTATCCATTACCCAAAACCGCAAAAGAGATTAAGCAGTTTTAGGCCTTATAGGTTATTATTGGAAGTTCATCCTAGACTTTGCTCGAATTACTTAACCTCTGACACAATGTCTAAAAAAGGGACGAAAAATAACTCTTGATAGAGACTATATTAACTGCTTCGAAAAGTGCAAGACTCTCTTAACTAACGACCCAATCCTTCAATATCCTGACTTCAAAAAAGAATTCATCCTGACAACTGACGCATCCAATGTAGCGATAGGAGCCATCCTCAGGGACCCATAGGATTAAACAAACCTGTATGTTACGCTTCTAGAACTCTAAATGAGAGCGAAGTAAACTACAGCACTATAGAGAAAGAACTCCTTGCCATCGTGTGGGCAACCAAATACTTTAGACCCTACCTATTTGGCCGTACTTTTAAAATCTTAACTGATCATAAACCCCTTTAGTGGGTAATGAATCTTAAGGAACCGAACTCACGACTTACTAGGTGGAAATTAAAATTTAGCGAACATAATGAAACAATATGTTACATAATGAAAAGTATCTCACATTTATATACGTATTCTCCAAATATGCTCAAGCGTATCATTTAAGAGACGGAACAGCATTGAGCATTTTACAAAGCCTACTTACCTTCTGTACGCATCATGGTCTTCCTCTTTCTGTTGTCACCGACAATGGGACCAAATTTACGAACCAGCTATTTACTGAGTTCGTACAATTACACAAAATTAACCATCATAGAACGTTAGCCCACTGTCCCAACGACTACGGTAACATAGAGCGGTCTATTCGACTATACTGGAACATCTGCGAATCCTAAAACTACAAAAGAAAGACGAGCATATAGTAAACCTAATGCCCTATGCTATCTTAGGATACAATAGTTCTGTATATAGTTTTACTAAATGTAGGCCTTACGATATTGTCAATAGACATTTCAACCCAAGAGACCCCATCGACATCGACTTGACAAAACTTTTACTGCAGAAATACATACTAACATACCGCGATCGAATGAAAACAGTGTATGAAATAATTAACGAATATTCTTTATCCGAAAGTTCAGCATTAATAAGTAATCGGAATAAATCGCGGGAACCAGAGGTTGAATACCAACCGAACCAACAAGTTTTCATTTCCAACCCCCTAGCTAACTGACAAAAATTAGCCCCACGTTACACCCATGACCATGTTCTAGCTGACTTACCAATACACATTTACACGTCTAGGAAACGCGGTCCGATACGGAAGTCTAGACTTAAACGTGTATCTAAAACTGCCGATTCGTTACAGAACTCTAAAATTACTAACTGTACTAACCGTGCTGACGATCGAAGCCCAGGAGATAAAACTTGAATATCTTGAAGACGGACCAGGCCTACTACCATTTAGACTTGGACCAACGACTCTCATAACTCACTATCATACATTTCTTCAATATGTAAAACTTGACAACATCAGAGGCAAAGTAACCTTATTGCAGGTACAGCTACAGAACTACAAGAACAGACTTGAAAATAACACCAACTTACTGTACGAATTACAAACGGACTATCTTTCTAGCAAACTAGACAAAGTATTATTACAACTAAATAGCTTAGAGCCTAGTCGCACTAAGAGAGGTCTAGTAGACGGATTAGGCTCAGTGATCAAAGGCGTAACCGGTAATCTAGATTATTTAGATGCCGCGAAATATAATAGTGCAATTAAAGTGATGAAGGATAACCAAGCTAGGATCGAATCAGAATTCAATAGTCACATTAGCATTAGTAAAAAATGGATGTTACAACATAATAGTGTGATATCCCAGATAATTGAAAACGAGAACAAAATTAACTCAACGCTTATCCAATTACTAGATAGAGCCGCTTATAGAGATAGTAGCCTCATTTAGTATGCTAAGTTTGCCCAACTACCAACAATTTTAATAGAAAATATTGATGATATGCTCAATGAGCTTAATAGGATAGAAAACATATTAGCATTTAGTCATGCATCGAGCACCCACCATTCTACGTTAAGTGTTAAGGTAATTAAGTCTATGTTAGTAAGATTAAGACAAATTTATGATAAGGAACATGTATTAAATTTAGAGACTAGAGAATATTACGATATCATTAAGTCAGGTTATTATTTTACAGAAAATCAAATAGTAATTGTTCTAAAATTCCCTTTTATTTCCAAAGACACATTTGACCTATTCCGCTTATCCATTGTACCTAACATAAACCACCAATCTATTATTCCACCCTATCCTTTAATAGCAACTAATAGAGAAAAATTCGTGTACATGGAGACAGAATGTCCGAAGTTGAGTAATCGGTACCTATGCGCAAAGGAAACGAACACCCAAATTTGAACACAATCCGACTGTATCCAGAACCTCATCATCAATCAGTCTATAGCAAAATCCTGTAAGATAACCGACATTGCAGTATCAAAAGAAGCCATGGAACGTCTTAACGACAAGCACTACACTATCTCCTTCCCTCAACCAACTAAAGTCCATTCAGTATGCGGGCGTGAAGATATTACTACATTACAGGGTAGTTACTTAGCCACAATACCAATTCATTGCTTCCTGCGTACACAAGAATTTACCATCACTAATATTAACGATCAAGTAGAAGGTCATCCCCTGAAACTAATGAAAACACCAATGGATATAAACGCAAAAGGCAACCCAGAGGTACCACAAATTAGCCTTAATACATTTAACCTGAAAGGACTCCACGCTGGCCAGGACCAACTCATGATGCAACCACCACTTCATCTGAGAGAGATGGATCTCCCAACTTTATATTACACCACTATTCCTTTTACGCCGTGTTATCAAGCATAGCAATATTCGCTATCATAATCTCAGTTCGTTACTAATACAAGACTAAGAAGCAAGAACAGATCCAGAATAACACCCCACATAGTCATGAAAAGCCCGAAGAATCTGAAGTCGAAAAGGCATTACCAGCAACTTTTTCTCTCAAGGTTCTAAAATAGTTGCTGATCTGAGGGTGGAGGAGTTATAACATAGCCTCATAGGTAAAGAGCCTACACAGCAGCGACCCCGATACATTGCAGCGGCACGAGGCGCAACTCAGCAGAACGTGAGCATTGACGTCAACGGATGCAACCGGAGCTCTGCAATATACCTTTACCTTATTTTTACTGTAATAATTAAAATTCATTCTAGATCTAGCATCGATCTGATTTTAGTTATAGTAATTATATTGTAATTTTTATATTATAATAAAGTATTATAAACTAGTTTCGGTTTTTTTTTGGGTCCTTCGGCTGCAGTTAACTTAATTAGTATAAAGGTTGCCTCACACGGGACAGTAATAATATAATATTATATCTTCCATTATCTCCGCATGAAAACTTTTAAAATCTCTGAATCCCGAGGTATGTTCATATTAAGAGGCTGAATAGAGCCACATTGATATGCATGGGGATCGTTTTGATATTTCATGTCGTTATCAAAAAAAATTGTACGTATTTCAGGTGGCGGTTTGCAAAACACGATTCAACAAAAATTCACTCAATAGAAAATAATTGCAAAGTTGCTTCTGAAAATAGTTAAATTTTCAACGTCAATTTTTTCTTATATGGTAGAGCCATGCTGCAGCTATATTAGTAGTAGGTATAGTTGTAGCACAAATAGGTTGGCTCGACCGGGGAAGGGCCACGCTCTCACGGAATACCATGTAAAATAGCAGTTTAACCCTGCTGTGTTTCGTATGGTGAGTGTAGAGAACCGGAGAACCTTTTTACTGGAAAAGAGGCATTACATATTAGTCCTCACGGGTGACAACGCATCTACATTTTGATACGTAATCGAGAATAGATGTAGATGTCTATGGGCTGTAGCAACCACTTACGATCAGGTGGACTGTGTGCTCGTTTGTCAAACTGTTTCCGCAAATGGTCTTATAGAAAATAAAAACTATTCCGCCGTGTTAGGTACAGGAGCTATTATTAGAAGGAGAAGAGGTAAAATTTTGTTTTAGAAATGCGTAATCAATATTGTTTTGTCTGCAATTGAGCATAAAATAAAAAAATAACTTCAGCCAAAGAGCATAACTGGCATTATACTCAGGCCCATCAATTGCTATGGAAAAAAATAATTTTACCAAGTTTCAAAAAATCAATCAAAATTCAAACAAACATTAATATTAAAATCAAAAAATGTATATATGTATGTCTATACACACATATTATGATTTATGGCCGCTTAGTAACTGACGGTGACTCAGTATAACACCCTACAGTCACGCCGAAACTAAGAGGAGAGAATCACTGTAGAAAAGATAATAATTTATTGCGGAAATTTTGTGATAAAATTAAAAAAATTACAAACTTATCCAATTTAATTTAACTTAGTCTAACTTATCCTAATGCGTTACAAAAAAAATATTGAGATGGCGTCAGTTTTTAAGAAGATATAACAAATATAAACAAAAAAATAAATTTCAAAAAAGTTCAGTATTTAATTGATTATATACTGCTGACACTTAATCACGCTTTTCGAAACCACGCCAGTTGTAAACAATACTTGTGTGAAAAGACAAAATCTTCTTTTCAAATTTCCACCGAGTTGTAAGTAGAAGGCCAAATAGGTCATGTGTCAATTTTAATTAAATATATTTTATATGAAGTGATCTTGACTACGTTTCATCAAATTGGTAAAATTGATTTTATTTTATTTTATTTATTTAACAAAATCCACAGCTCTTTAAGTTCTTATAACTATTTTTCATATACATCTATATCTTACAGCCAATAAGGATTTACTTTTTTTATTTTAGAAAACATTTCATATTAACCGAACCGACACTTTATTACATTTTAGCGCATAACAATTTAGATGTAATCGTATGTGCTTGCACGTGTGTGTGTGTGTGTGTGTGTGTGTGTGTGTGTGTGTTGTGTATGTGACATGAAATAACTAATCATTAAGTATTTTCAAAACTTCTCGCACAAAGTTTGGTTTACTTCCATAGAATACGTCTACAGAGTGAAACGTTTTGTTATATT